GGTCAGGGGCTCCCCCAAGAAGCCCAGCGCCAAGCCGCTCAGGAACATCCCCAGGCAGAAGCCGGAGGACATTAAGTTCTGCCGCTCCAACTCCGAGGAGGAGCCCAAGCCGCCCGCGCCCAGCCCGCCCCGCGGCCCGCCGCAGGTGCCCAGCTTCGCCCGCAACACGGTGGCCTCCTCCTCCCGGTGCACGAGGACCGAGGGCCCCGCTGCGGCCAGGGTCCCCGGCATCACGCGGACAGCCTCGCAGCGACAGCTGAAGGCCCGGGCTGGCCCCGAGGACGCCGCGCCCAAGGACAGCGGCACCCTGAGGCGGGCCAGCAGCGCGCGGGTCCCCAGGAAGGGCCTGGAGACTGCTGAGGGCACCCCGGAAGGCCCCGTGAAAGCCCGGGGGGCTGCGGAAAGGGCCTCCCTCAGACTGAAGGACTCCAATCGGACCGCGCTGGGGAAAATCCTCAATCCGCTATGGAAGTGATGGGGGCCTGGCCGCCCTTGCCCCGGGGGTGCAGGGGTGAGGCCAAGAGGCGACGATGAGTGGCGTTGTTACACCCGCAGTCCACCCGTGCCACCTGCTAACGACCCTGTCCCCGAAGGTACGAGTGCGTGACCCTGGACTGCGGCCCGCCGGGCTGGCCCTGCTGTGAGGTCCCGCCCCCGCCCCCCAGAACCCAGGTCCTGCAGAGAACTGGGACATGTAAGATGATCTTATACACCAAGTAAAGACAATTTTTTTCTGGCCAGTTTTTATATATCAAAGACTTATTTTTTAATATTATAAAATAAAATGTTGATTTAGCTGGTTCGTTTTGTAGTGTTATGCCTGGGGGGGGGCATCCCTGGTGTGGCTGTGACCCTGGCCTTGAGGACCCAGCTGCCCACACAGGTCCCTGCAACTGCTGCCCTTCCCCTGAGCTCCTCCTTGAAGCCTTTCTGGCTTGCTGGTTTCTCCTCCAGTTCTGGGTGAGGGCTTGCATGCCACCAGGGGGGACAGAGGCTCGGGGGCAGAAGTCTAGTGCTTGTGTGTTCAGGACTAGCCCACGAGCAGGGGCTGGGGCTGAGCCCTGGGGCGGGGGGCTGCAAAGCAGGCTTCCCTTGCAGGTGGGGTGCCCACTGCTAGAACCCCGATCTCTGGGCTGCAGGAGTTCCAGGTCTCAGTGGAAAGGGATTGGTGCCTCTCAGTTGAGCAGCCCCTTCTGTGTTCCCCTTTGCCACCTGTCACACGGCTGAGGGAAGGCTGCTGTGACATGTGTCCACTCTGGTCACCGGGAGTGTGCCCTCGGACTCCCAGTCCTCCTTCTCCTCTTTTCTCTGCCTGTCCCCAATCCTTTTTCTCTTCCTTCTTTCTTTCTTTCTTCTTCTTTCTTTCTTCTTTCTTTCTTTCTTCTTCTTTCTTTCTTCTTTCTTTCTTTCTTCTTCTTTCTTTCTTCTTTCTTTCTTTCTTCTTCTTTCTTTCTTCTTTCTTTCTTTCTTCTTCTTTCTTTCTTCTTTCTTTCTTTCTTCTTCTTTCTTTCTTCTTTCTTTCTTTCTTCTTCTTTCTTTCTTCTTTCTTTCTTTCTTCTTCTTTCTTTCTTCTTTCTTTCTTTCTTCTTCTTTCTTTCTTCTTTCTTTCTTTCTTCTTCTTTCTTTCTTCTTTCTTTCTTTCTTCTTTCTTTCTTTCTTCCTTCCTTTCCTTTCCTTTCTTCCTTTCTTCTTCCTTTTTCTTCTTTTTCCTCCTATAACCTGGCTCTAGGACAGTCTCTCCTGTCTGTCTCTGTCTCTTAATGACAGTTTTTTACCGTGGACATCCCTTCCTTAGAGTGGTCTTTAGGCCCTAAAAAAAACCAAATCCCGTTTTTTTTTTTGGTTTTGTTTTTGAAAGCAGACCGAAAAAAGAAAAGAGATGAAATTGCAGTGGGAAGACGACACAGCATCAGGAAATGGGGGGAGAGTCAGTCTCCCGAGAGAGGGAAGTGTACTCTCTTGCCAAAATGCCCATTTCACTGCCCGGAGATGAATGGGGAAATGGGGACGTCGTTGAAACTTGTTTTCTATTTTAAAAGTTGCCCCCAGGCCAGCCTGTGGTGTGGTGGTTAAGGCAGCTAGATTCCACATGGCCGACTGCATGGTTCAAATCCTGGGCCTGGCAGCTTGGAAAACACATCAAGGCCCAAAGCCCCTAAAGGAGGGAGAGATGGAGAAGGGATTCGCCTATTGGGAGGGGTATTCTTTCTCATTCTCTCTCTCTCTCTCTCTCTCTCTCGGGTCTCCCCGGCAAGCACGTGTGCCCTCTGGCAAAACTAAACTAAAACAACCCCTGATCCCCTCGTTCATGTGCGGGCTTTTAATCTCACTGCTCCACTCGGCTCCGACGTCGGTAGGTGGATGGATCTAGGCAAATCCGATGCATTTGTGACATTCCCGCGCCTCCCTGGAGCCTGTCCCCTTCCATGGGGCCACCACAGACAGCCCGGGCTGTGGCCAAAGGAGAGGCACTGTACCACGGGCTCGTGTGATCAGCCAGGGCAGGTGTGCCAGGGCTCCTGGAGGCGTCCGGAGGACCGACCTGCTGCTCACCCTCTCCAAGGGCCTCAGAGCCGTGTTTTTAACCAAGTAGACAGAAAGCTTCGAAAGGGAGAGTCCCTCCATGTTTTTAACCAGGTAGACAGACAGCTTCGGAAGGGAGAGTCCCTGGGGCATGGGAGGTGGATGAAAGTGCTTGTACGTTTGTGGACAGTGGAGGTGTCGGGACTCTCAGGGGGGCCCTGGGAGCCAGGTGGGGTCCCTGCTCTGTCACCGATGCTACGTGACGTTAGCAGGTCACGTCCTCTCTCGGAGCCTCTGTTCCTAGCCCATGGACTAGAGCTCAGCTTCCACGAGGGTGTCCAAGCCCCTTCCAGGTCTAGGAGCCTTGAGTCATATAAACCGAGCCCGTCCCTGCCCCAGGGTCAGCTTCTCAGGACCAACCCTGGCATCTCAAAAGGGAAGGCCTCGCTTCCAGAGCTGCTTAGCAGGAAGTGCCCCAGAGTGGGCCCTTGCTGGGACACCTCCGCTGGGAGTCCTAAGCAGCGGTGGTCCCCTCTGCCCTGGGGACAATCTGTGTGTTTCCCTGTGAGAAGGCCATCTTTTCGCCTTTTTTTTTTTTTTTTTTTTGGGGG